TCCCACCCCCCCAAATGCCTGTGAGGCAGATTATTTCTACTTAACTCTTCTCTACATTCATTACATTCACTATTTCGACAAAAAATGCACCATTATTGTTTAGAATTTCCCCCCAAACAATCAGAATTGCTGAAAAGGCATTGTGAAATATTTTGCTTTCTATAGCTGGTTATGAGAATCATATAATGTCATGCAGCCACGATTTTGGATTTCTGCAAAGAGCCAGATAATACGAGATTGGTTTCTATGTGTCTGGTGTTATGGCCATGCCGGAGAGCTGCTCATGGAGGGTAACTCGTGACCTCGGTAGGGTGTGAAGGACATGCCACTACCACCCCCCTTCCCATGAGACTGCAGTTGCCCCATCACCACAGGCTCGTACCTGGCTTTTCTATAAGCTCTGAGGCGGCAGCCACATTGCTGCCATGGGGGAAAAATGCAGAAGGGAGCAGCACTCTTTCCCTCCTGGGGAGGCACAGCTCTGTAGTTTAATGCATGGTCCATTCACTTTTCTGCCGCAAGCTTCCGGGCTCTGGATTAAGTCCTTTTGCCTCTGGAGCCATAGCTGTGCCAAAGAGTCGCTCATTCGGTGCAAATCGTGACCTCAGTAAGGCGTGAAGGACGAGCAGGTACCGCCCCCCCTCCCCATGAGACTGCTGTTACCCCGTCACTGCCAGCTTATACCTGGCTTTCCAATAAGCTCTGAGCCGGCGGCCACCTTGTATGCAGTCCAGATGCATTTCTGCCAAAAGCCACTGGGTTTCAAGATTTGTTTCTGAGTCTCTGGGATCATAGCCATTAATCAGCTTGATCAGGAGCCAGAGAGGCCGTTTGTAGGTGGTGACTCAGGGTGTCGTTGGGATGGGGAGAAAGAGTTGGCTCCACCCCCACGTGGTGAGGCCCCGTGTGTCTCGTCACTGCAGGCCCAAACCTGACTGTCCAGTGGCCTCTGGAGGACGGTGGTCACCAGGCTGCCAGGAGGAACAGGCCAAGGCACGCAACCTATTCCCACCTGGAGTGACCCAGCACCAGTAACCTACTGCAGGAACAGGACACATTTCTGCCAAAAGCCTCACAAAAGAGATTCATTTCTGAGTCTTTGGGATCATGGCCGTTAAGCAGTTAGATCAGGAACCAGAGAGGCCATGCCACCAATTATATAGCTGAGCCGGAAGTGGTTTGTGGGTGTTTCTCCAACATATCTAACTTTTGGCCGTTTACTTTCTTGGTAAATTTTGCCCCAAGGTTTTGGGATCTGGCCAAAGGCACAGCAACAATTTTGGGGTATCTGAAGGTCTGATGGTTCCATCAGGCTGCAGATGCACTCACCTCACAGGTACAGATTGACATGCTGGCGGCACCATACCCCCTAGATTTTACTTTAATTTCATTTTTTTTTCAAATAAAATCAGCAGAGGGCACTGTGGAACTACCAGTGCTTCTCTGTTCAGTGAGATCAGAAAACTTGGTGCCTAGGCTGGTGCTGTGAACTGTGTGCTCACTGATGAGAGCTTTGCAGCTGCACCTTCTCTGGCCTATCAGAGTCGCCTGAGCATGACATTAGTCTCCACAGGTGTTTCCTCTTGGGGTCTTTCGAGAGGGAAAGCAAATCTCCATCCTGCTGATGCTGGGCTAGGAGTTGGCTTCTAAATCTAGGGCTCAGGGAGGGGATGTGTAATTAGTGGATGGAAACTTGTGTGCACAGATAGTCCCAATTCTGACATAGGGACATAGAAGAAAAGGGCACTTGGATAGAAATGTCTCAAAGGTGGGGTGAGGGATTCATGTGTACTAGGGTCTCTCTTCTTCAGTAGGTCTTCTACTTGTATTACTCTCTCATTGCACAGATAGCGTCATACCTGAAGAGGCAGCCCAATATATCCCACAGCCTTGCTTAGAAGAATGATGATTCAGACACTGACTCTTTACCAGACTTATGAGTGTCTTTGTTTGCAGGTTCCCTCCCCTAGTCTGTGGTGACTCAGCCACAGTCACTCTCAGCATCTCTCCTGACAAGAGCCGGACTTACCTGCACCATGGTCATTGGCTACTGTGTTGAAAACTACACGGTTATCTGGCATCAGTAGAAGCCAAATATGTCTTCCATGTTATCTCCTGAACTACCACAGTGACTCAGACAAGGGCCTGGGCCCTGGAGTCCCTCCTCTCTTTTCTAGATCCAAAGATACCTTTGCAAATGCAGGGATTCTGCTCATCTCTGGGCTGCAGCCTGAGGATAAGGAAGACTCCATGACTGGCTGCAGATAGAATTTTCACAGTCACACACACACACACACACACACACACACACACACACACACACACGTGGGGAACTCATTGAAACCTCAAATGGTGAAGGAGTCAGATCTCTGACCTTTATCCAGTTTACATGTTCTGAATATGCACTAGTTTGATTGGCAAGTCACTTTCAGATTACAGTGTCCTACTCCCACATGTTTGAACTCTGAATTGAAATAAATACAAAGAACATGTATGCACTGATTGATTTTCAGGAGTCTCATTTTGATTTTACCCCTTAAAACCCTGAAATTCGGTGGGCTACAATCTGTGTGTAGTACTAACATAGAGCTAACTTTATTGTCTGGCTGCTTTACTTTCTCAACGTGGTTGAAAGAGATAAATACAAGTTCCTTCTTCTTTTCTGACCCGTTTCTTCTCTTCTGTGGCCCATCATATCTCATGCTACTTCTTCCTCTGACAATTGCCTGAAAGGAACTTTCTCACTTCTTTGTGTATGTTCATGTCTTTGAATTTTCTGGGTTTGTTAACAGAAATGATCAAGTCCAAATTCCTTCTTCTGGACCAAAATAAATCCTGACTTCCACATTGGAAGTGGCTTTGAGAAACTTGTGAGCTCATCTTGTCTCATCTGTATCATGAAGTCTATCTATAGTATATGCATGAGTTTGTGTGCATGTGTGTGAGAGCGAGAAAGAGAGAGACAGGGAGAGCAACATCAAAATTATATATATATATATATATTGGCTTTTTAGAGTTTATTTGAATTTGATCATGAGTCAACTGTTAGAAATAACTATTCAAGTGTTAATATAGTATATCACTTTAAAATATTTTAATATGGATCAAACACGTGTCATTGCCATGAATACTAATTTGTCATTTTAACCAATTCATTAATCCTTCATTAGAATTTTTTAAGTTATTTACAATAGTTATATTGAAGTATAACTGTTGCATAATTTTTAATTGCATAAATATTAGTAAGCTATATTTTTCACTATTATAAGTACATCACAAGAGTTAGGATATTTTCCTTCTTTGAAATGTATGTTGACTGCACCACAGTGATACAGCATTTGCCTTGCACATCAACGACCGGGCTCAATCCTCAAATATTCCCAAGGGTGATCACCAGAAGTGATTACTAAGTGCAGATCTTGGAGATTCTGAGCACTACCACATGTGGGCCCACATAGTTAATGAAAAAAATTATGTGGAGTGAAAAACTTAAAATTTAACATCTTGGCACGGGAGCCTTGTGGACAGCAGGTTTGAGCCGGGGGTCGGGGGCGGCACGGACCTCATGGGAAGGGGGGCGTTCCGGTCCGTCCTTCACGCCCTACCGAGGTCACCAGTTGCTCCCCACGAGCGACTCTCGGGCACAGCCACGGCCCCAGAAGCACAAGGACTTAATGCAGAAAACCAGCCGCTTGGAGCAGAAAAGCGAATGGACTATGTGTTAAACCGCGCCATTATGCCTGCCCGGAGGGGAAAGGGTGTTTCCCCATTCGCCCTCTCCTCTCTGGAAAGAAAGATGGCGGCCGCATGGGAGCCTTGTGGAAAGCAGGTTTGAGCTGGGTGTCTGGGGCGGCAGGGACCTCATGGGAAGGGGGGCGTTCCAGACAGTCCTTCACGCCCTACCGAGGTCACCAGTTGCCCCCCACAAGCGGCTCTCCAGCACGGCCACGACTCCAGAGCACAGAAACCAATCTCTTAACTATCTACCTTTTATTAGAAATACTTCCAGGGTTAATAAGTAAAATAGCAGAAATCCAAAACCGCACAGCCGCGATACTGGCCGCGCGACATCATTTAATTCTTAAACCCAGCTGTAGAAAACAAATCATTTCACAATGCTTTTTCAGCATGTCTGATATGGAGGGGGTCATAAACTCTAAATAATAATGGTGCATCTTTTATCGAAACAATGAATCTAGTCAAAGTAGATAGAGTGTTAACTAGAACTCATCTGCCTCACAGGAATTGGGAGGGGTGGGAGGTGGGGTTCTATTGGGGTTCACGGTTAAAAATAAGTATTGGTAAAGGTAAATGTGTTTGATATTTACATGACTGAGACCTAAACCTGAAAGCTCTGTAACTTTTCCCACAGTGATTCAATAAATAAATAAATTATAAATAAATAAATAAAACCATAAACTTTATCATTATTATAAAAAAATATAACATCATGAAATTTTCTGTGAAATTATCTGAATTGTATGCCATTCTGTAGAATATCTACAAAATAACTTTTCCTATGTTTTTAAGAAAACTGATATTTTGTTTTATTTCAAATGCAGTGAATTTTTTCTAGACAAATATGGGTTTTGCGTATTCAGTAATACAAGCAGCCAGGATATTTTTTCTATTCTTTTCAAACACAGCCAACAGGAGGTGCTGTGGAACTCCCTTATTTTCTGAGCACAGCTACTAAGTGAGAACCATTAACTCAGAGCAACCAGTCCTGGGGCCTGGGCCTGTGAACAATGAGTGGGATTCAGCTCCTGTGTCCTCTGGGCTAGGACTTGTGTGTGCTCTCTGCAGGTGCTTCCTCCTAGAAATACCCCTAAAAACACTGTCCATTCTGTCTGGAGTATCAGCTGAGCCCCATCAATATGCACAGCAGGAGATAGGCAGTTTCTAGATTTACCTGATTTGCATGTAGAGCTCCTCCTCTGGCATAGGGAGTAAAGTAGACATAGTGAAGCCAGTGCCCACTGTAGGATCAGAGGGTGTTGTGCACCATGGTCTGGGCTGCTCTCCTGCTCACGCTCCTCTTTCACTGCACAGGTATGGATAGGACTCAAGAGGCTGCCTGATAGAACTTTCTCCTTCTTCATAGTATTGATGAATTGAACCCGATTCTTGCCTGAAACTAATACAAATCTTTCTTTGCAGGGTCCCTCTCCCAGCCTGTGCTGATTCAGGAGCCCTCAGTCTCAGCATCTCCTGGATCAACAGCCAAACTCACCTGCACCCTGAAGAGTGGTATCAGTGTTGGCAGCTATAGAATATTCTGGTACCAACAGAAGACTGGGAACTCTCCCAGGTTTCTCCTTAGTTATTACACAAGTACAAATTTGGGATCCGGAGTTTCCAATCGCTTCTCTGGATCAAAAGACACCTCAGCCAATGCGGGACTCCTGCACATCTCTGGGCTGCAGCCTGAAGATGAGGCTGTCTATTACTGTATGATTGATTACAGTGGTTCTAATCACAGTGACACAGGCAGGTGAGGAAGTGGTACAAAACCTTTCATCTGTTTTGAAACTGAGATAATGACCCTGTTCCAATACAAAGCTCTTTAAGCATGTAGCAATTTTATTTGGAAGCACTTTTTGGTTCATAGTGATCTATCCAACAATTTCCTATTTAACTTAGCTGAATTTAAACCTTCTTTTGAACTTTCCATAACAATAAAGAACTCATGCAGAGATAAATGTTTAACTCAGATAATTAAACTTTAAAAGGCACTCACTTCCACCTCTGCCACTATGTAAGCTCCTCATCTATTGGCCCTGTTCCAGAGACTCAAACAAATCTCAAAGAGATAACCTAGCCATAAAAGATTAAAAATTATATATCTATCTGAAACATCCATTCCTGACAGAGAGGTTGGGGTGCTCTTGTAGGGGGATGGGCGGGCCATCTCCAGGCCAGATTAAACCTTTCAGTCACTGGGGGGTATGGTGCTGACAGCAGGTCAATCTGTACCTTTGAGGCGAGTGCATCAGTAGCCTGATGGTGTCTTCAGACTTCCAGATACCCAAAAATTGCTGCTGTTTCTTTGGCCAGACCCCAAAATCTTGGGGCGAAGTTACCAAGAAAGTAAACGGCCAAAATTTAGGTATGTGGGAGACACACACACAAACCACCTCCGGCTCAGCTGTATATTTGGAGGTATGGCCTCTCTGGTTCCTGATCGAACTGCTTAATGGTCATGATCCCAGAGACTCAGAAACAAATCTTGAAACCCAACAGCTTTTGGCAGAAATGCATCCAGACCCCGCAGTAGGTTACTGTTGCTGGGCCACCCCAGGAGGGAAAGGGTGCTGTTCCTCCGTCTGCTCCCCCTAGGCGGCTCAGTGGCCGCCAACCTCCAGAGGCCACTGGACAGTCAGATTTGGGCCTGCAGTGACAAGACAGGCGGGGCCTCATGAAATGGGGGTGGAGCCGGCCCTTTCCTCCCCATCCCAAGGAGACCCTGAGTAGCCACCCACAACCGGCCTCTCTGGCTCCTGATCAAGCTGCTTAATGGCCATGATACAAGAGACTCAGGAACAAATCTCAGAAACCAGCAGTTTTGGCAGAAATCCCTCCAGATTTAATTGTTAAAATTTTGGAATTTCAAAATCTCGCTGTCAGTACTGCAACCACGCGACATCATATGTTATTCATAATCAGCAATAGAAAACAAATAGTCTACTGTTGCCTTTTCAACAGATCTGAATGTTGTGGTAAAATTCAAAATTATACTGGTGGGTCTGGTGTCAAAATATTGAATGTAATCAAAGTAGAGAGAGAGTAATTTGGAAATCATCTGCCCCACAGGTAGGCGGAGGGTGTGAGGTAGGGGTATATTGGGGTTTTGGGGGTGGAGAATGGGCACTGGTGAAGGGATGGGTGTTTCTTTGTCTGACCGAGACTTAAACCGGTAAGCTTTGTAACTGCTCTCACAGTGATTCAATAAATAAAATTATAACAAAAATGAAAAAGAAATAGAAGGTGGAGTTCCTGCCCGATTCAAACAGCTAATCAGTGGCTGAACAAATAGCATTACTCTTACATAAAAAAAAACCCTTTTAGCCACTCCCACACCCCCACACCTTAAAGCCACGTTCTAGTCAAAAATTGAACTTCAACAAAACAATCCAGTAAGAGCTCTTAAGTTTCTAGAGCACGTAGCAACAAATACATGTTCATCATCTACATTACTGATTTGCCAGTAATAGATGGATGGGATGCAAAGTAGAGACCAACCAATCTCGAGCATTAACAACGAAGGTTACCTTGCAACAACAGCTTAATAAAACCCTCAGACAAGGACATCATGTCTCCATGGTGAAACAGAAAATTTTCACAAATATTCTTCTACAGAAACATTTTTTGATCATTTTGCTATGGATTAAAAAGCAATTTCAAATAAATTATTGCCTACCTGCTATAAGCACAAGATTGAGTGGTGATTGGGACAATGGAGAAAATGGAGGAAGGAAGGTGGGATTGGTGTTGGAATATTGAATGCCTGTAATCAGTCATCATGAATAACCCTCTAAATCTAGTAGTGCTGTAACACTGTCCTCTCGTTGTTCATCAATTTGCTCGAGTGGGCCGAGTAATGTCTCTATTGTAAGACTTGTTGTTATGGTGTTTGGCATATTGAACACGTGATGGGTAGCTTGCCGGTCTTTGCCGTGTGGGCGAGATACTATCGGTAGCTTGCTGGGTACTCTGAGAGGAGCAGAGGAATCGGTGTTTAAGTAAAATGCATAGGGTTTGGAGTCGCGGGTGGTGGAGTGAGGGTCAACCAAAACCAGTTGGGCTGTGTTCCAAAAGATTATTTACATTGCAATTTATCCTGCATTGCTCAGATCACCAGTACCATGGTACACATAGAAATCCTTCTATCACCCTTGGAATATATTATTGCAGGCATTTGAGATTTGTATTACAGTACCACATATCCTCACTCCTTTTTTTTAATTTAATTTTTTAAAAATTTTATAGGGAAGGGGCTGGAGCGGTAGCACAGCGGGTAGGGCGTTTGCCTTGCATGCAGCCAACATGGCCGACCCGAGTTCGATTCCTCCGCCCCTCTCGGAGAGCCCGGCAAGCTACCGAGAGTATTCGATATGCCAGACACAGTAACAACAAAGTCTCCAATGGAGACGTTACTGGGCCCGCTTGAGCAAATCAATGATGAACGGGAGGGCCTTTACTTTTATTAGGGAAACACCATGAAGTAAAGTTTTAGACTTACAAATTTTTGTGCTTGGGTTTCAGTTATAAATGATCGAATACCATCCGTCCATCAGGGCCCATTCTCCACCACCACTGATCCCAGTATCCCTCCCACCCCCCCACCCCATCTTCCCCAGCCCACCCTGCCTCTGTGGCAGGGCATTCCCTTTTGTGCTCTCCTTTTGGGTGCTGTGGTTTGTAAATGAGGCATTGAATGGCAATGATGTTTGATCTATAGTCTACTTTCCGCATGCATCTCCCATCCTGGGAGGATGCTACCAACACCCTTTTTTTCTGATGCTCTCATCTCTATCTGAGCTACCTTTTCCCCTAGCATGTGCGGCTGGCCTCCAAGCCATGGAGTAAACCTCCTGGTACTTATCTCGGCTATTCTTGGGGTCAGTCTCCTATTTTGTTAATGTTCCCCAGAATGCAAAGTTTAAGAAGAGAACTCCCAGAATGACCACCAAGTGGGAGCTCTTCGGCTTTGTTGCGGCAACATGGGAAGATGCCGTCACTGACAACATTGATGAAGAATATGATCGAATGATTCAGCACCTCCATGATTGGGCGAGGAATGCCAAGAGAGAGATAACCACAAAAAAGCGCCTTTCTTCGAACACTCTTGAACTTATTCGCCAACGTGGCTTGGCACATGTCTCAGGCAACCGCAAGCGAACATCTGAGCTGGCAAAACAATGCAGAGAAGCCATCAAAAATGACCTCAAAGACAGGAGAGCAGCAATGCTGGTAGATATGGCAGAAGTTGGGAAAAGCATTCGTAATGCCTGCCTGTCCTTCACCAACTACAAGACCAAGATAACTGCCCTCTGACATCCTGATGGATCTATCACATCTTCCAGAAGGACAATGGAGAAGATTATTCATAACTTCTACTCAGATCTCTTTAATAGCCACATCCACTTGCCCACATACCACATTCCACATGATGGATATATCGTTCCCAATGTTCTTCCTTCCGAAATCCAACATGCCATCTCATCAGTAAAGAAACAAAGAGCACTTGGCCCAGACAAGGTCAGGCCTGAGCACCTGAAGAACTTACCATCAGTACTCATCAATACACTGGCTCAGCTGTTTACACACTACCTGTCTGAATGCAAGGTTCCATCCCAATAGAAAACCAGCAGAACTGTACTACTATACAAGAAGGGAGACATCCAAGACATTGGCAACTATCGCCCAATCTGCCTATTGTCTGTCATCTACAAACTGTTCACTCAGTCATCCTGAATAGGATTAGAACACTAGATGAAGGACAACCATGTGAACAAGCCGGATTCTGAAAAGGATTCAGTACCATCAACCATATCCATACGATTACTAAGCTCATTGAGGTTTCTCAGGAGTTCAAGATGCCGCTCTTTCTAACGTTCATTGATTTAAAGAAGGCCTTTGATTCTCTTGAGACAGAAGCAGTCATAGAATCCCTGGCCAATCAGGGAGTACAAACTCAATACATCAGGATCCTTCGTGAGCTCTATTACGGATTCACTACCAGGATCTCACCATTCTACAAAGAAGTAATCATCCATGTCAAGAGAGGGGTTCGGCAGGGTGATACCATTTCACCAAAATTCTTCAGTGCCACCCTTGAGAACATCATGCGACAACTGGAATGGGAAAGCATGGGAGTGAATATAGATGGTCGGCAACTACACCACCTCCGCTTTGCTGATGACATCGTTCTAATAACACCAAATATCAGCCAAGTGGCACAAATGCTGACTGACTTTGACTGTGAGTGTAGAAAGGTCGGACTACAACTGAATCTTATGAAGACAATATTTATGAGAAACAGCCTCATTCCTGATGCTCCATTCGCTCTCAACAGAACCACCATCTCCGAATGCAACAGTTATATATACCTAGGTCGAGAAATCAACATAATGAATGACCTGGCACCTGAGTTGCACAGGAGGAAGAGAGCGGCTTGGAATGCCTTCAAGAGTGTTGAAGAAATAACTAAGAGGACAAAGAACCTCCAGCTGTGAGCACATCTCTTCGATTCCACTGTTCTTCCTGCATTAACATACGCCTCAGAGACCTGGGCCCTATGAAAACAGGATGAGAGCACTATTCGGGTCTCTCAAAGAGGAATCGAAGAGCTATGCTTGGAATATCACGATTCACTCAAATGAGAGATAGAATCCGGAGTTCTGATCTTCGTCAACGCTCAAGAATCAGGGACACTGTCTCATTTGCCAAGGCATCAAAAATCAGATGGGTTGGACACATAGTGAGGTTTAT